AGCAATCAAGATAATATAAAAACATCCTCTCATGCATTAGATTCGTTGCCACCTTGTCAAATCTGGGTTTCAGAGTAGAACTGCTCTAGCTTTAACTATAATGTCACAGTGGTAGATCGCCACACCTTTCTTCTGTGCTGCTGTGGTGAGTTCAAACTGGCAACTTCCAGGTGAGCAGCCAGCAGAACAGACACCTAACAACAATAGCCTATTACAAATCATATATGATATCCAGGGAACCTAGGGAGTTACTTGCCCACGTAGACATGCTTCCTGGGGAATAAGCCAGGAGTAAGATCAGGGGAGGCTGGAGGAAGCCACAAAGACTCCTGAGAAGAGGAGGCTTCTGAACCTTAAGAAAGGACAACCCGGCCTGTGATGGGGCCCCAAGGAGGTGGCCACAGAGGGCTCCGTGAAGCCATTGGAAGCGGAGAAAGACTTCATGGGTGGTCCATTTGTGTGACCATGCTAGAAACAAAGTGGAAGGCAAGCCCACTGTGTGACCTCAGTCTGAGGTCGCCAGCCCCCAGCCCTTTGTGACATCACCAGGAGCTGCTTATAAAAAGAAAGGCTTGGTCAGAGATGCGTCCTCCAGCCTGGCCCCACAACCTCCTGGGAGGCCCATGAGCAGAATCAAATGCCATGCTCCTGTTATCAGTTCTGCTGCTCCTGGCGGAAGCCAAGAGCGTCCATCTCGGTATGTGGACTCCCTTCCCAACGGCCAGAGCAGATGGAGCAGTGGGGGCTGGGCATGACAACCATCCTTCCCTTTTCCCTCCCGCCCAGGCAGAGTCATGCATGCGAACCAGAAGGGAGACAAAGGGATTGTTCGCTAGCTCATTCATTCTCCAGCTTCTGAGGAAAACACGACTCACGAGAGACCAAGAAGAGCAGCTTTATGCTCTTCCACACACTTCCCCTAAAACTGTGCCCCCACCACCTCTATTCAAAGTTGGACCTGTTTGACTTTAAATGTGATTTTTGAGACCTGAGATGTCATCCCTGAAGGATTAACAAGGTGTTCAGATACAAATGTCCACCATCCCCTTACAGAAGAGTATCGGGGAGGAGATGAGCCAGTCAGGGTGCAATGTAGCAACGATGAAAAATATAACTTTCTTTTAGTTCCTAAATGCTTCCAAACCCCCCCCACCCCACAACCCACTATCATGATCCCAATTCTACATTACAAATCTGGCTAGACCAGAGGAAGCACACTGGTACAGATAGGAACTGGAAACACAGGGAATCCAGGGCAGATGATCCCTTCAGGATCAGTGGTGAGAGTGGTAATACGGGTGGGAGGGGTGGGGAGTGGGGGTGGAGGGGAGATGGGTTGGAAAGGGGGAATGGATTACAAGGATCTACATGTGACCTCCTCCCTGGGGGATGGACAACAGAAAAGTGGGTGAAGGGAGACGTTGGACAGGGCAAGATATGCAAAATAATTTTAAAATTCTCAGGTTCATGAGGGAGGGCAGAGCGGGGAGGGAGGGGAAAAAATGAGGACCTGATGCCAGGGGCTTAAGTGGAGAGCAAATGTTTTGAGAACAATGAGGGCAATCAATGAATGTAAAAATGTGCTTTACACAATCAATGTATGTATGGATTGTGATAAGAGTTGTATGAGCCCCTAATAAAATGATTAAAAATAAATAAATGAGTAGCCAATAAAAAAAAAGAAAAGAAAAGAACACATGTCCACAATGAGTTGAGCAGCCATCTGCTGATTGAAAGGGAAAAGAGTGTGGACGATGGGAGTCATGGCAAAGCTGCTCTTGAACTGGAGACGCAGAGCCCAGGTGTAGCTCAGCACATCTGCATGGGCCCACAGTGTCCAACCCGGCTTCTCTTTATCAGTCACTTCCTTACAGCTGTGACATGTCATTTCTCTTCCCAAGGGGGAGCTGAGGTTGGAAGGAAGCTGAGAGGTTTAGCAGCTTTTGGGGGCCACGTGTTTTGACACCTTTACTGCTCACAACATCACTGTGGGGTTTCTTGGTTCCTCCCACTTTCTGAGTGAGGGACACTGAGCTTACAGTGACCTGCAAATAGCAGAACTAGAACTGGTACCAGATCTGACTTGAAAGTCCTTGCTTCCCTCCCTTGCACGTTGTTTCTTGTATGGAATGACTACTACTAGATTACCCGCTGCCTTTGAGGCAATGCTGCCTCCTCTCAACCCCCTGTGGGTTTCTAAGACGATCACTGTTTGCTGGAGTAGAAAGCCCAGTCTTTCTCGCGTGAAGCTGCTGTTGCTTTTGAACTGCTGACCACTGGGTACACAGGCCAACGTGTAACTACTACACCAGCAGGGCAGTCATTCAGTTGGCCTTCCTTAATGTGGCCTTGGATTGGTGTGGTGGGGAGGGAGCTGGTGTGTAGTGTGGGGAGAGAATCTGCCGAACAGGTGTCCCTCTGCAATGGTGTCCAATCAAAGAGGCCTAAAACAAAGGACTGTTCAAATTACGTCTTGTCTATTTTTTAACCTGCCTCAGTCATTGTTTAAAGAGATTTTATGCTCTGTCTTTAAATGACCACAAGATTCCACATTGGTTTTGTAGATTGTTCTTCCAGAAGCCAAACCCATTACTGTTGAGTGGATTTCCACTCATATAAACACTGTAGGGAAGAAGGATAGCATTTGCCCCATAGGATTTACAGGGCTGTAATTTTTATGGAAATAGAATGCCTTGTCTTTCTCCCTTGGTGAAAGTGGCTGGTGGGTTTGAACCGGTTAAGAATGGCCCTCACTGCCAGTCTCACAGGGACACTGACATTGGTTCCAAGTGAATATTAAGAATTCTGATAGCCAGTGTGACTTAATCCTTGACAAGGTGGATTGACACTGTGGCCAGTGGCCGAAGCAATGAGCTCAAACCTAGGAACAATTGTGAGGATGCCCCAGGACCGGGAAGTATCTCTTTGTTGAACACAGGGTTGCTATGAATCCCAAGTGATTCAAAGGCACCCACAACCAGCAATATGGCTCGAGGATTGACTTTGAGCCATGTCCTTACATATTAGGCTCTTTAAATGATTATTATCGCATGTAAGTCTAACACCGAGTAAATATGATTGTATGCTCTTTTTAGAAATAAAAAAGCGGAGGAGAAGACAGAGTCTGTCGCTTTTCCAGATTCAGGAAGCACATAGGCATCCTTAGGTTGCCAAGATTTGGACTTAGGTTGTCCCCCTGGGAGCCTAGGCTTCATCAGAGACCCTCCTCTACATTTCAAAGCAAGAGGGCACCCCAACACCTCCTGATCGAGTCCATAAGCACCCACAGTATTTTGGCATATTTTTCACTGAGTATTCTACCATTAACATTTTCTCACATCATTAAAAAACTCCTCAGATGTGTAATTTTCATGGATAAAGAATGGTCCAGCATATGGATGAACCTTAAATTAAGTAGTCATAACAGCCAGGTGGTTTGGGATGTGCTACCATAAGTTGATGACATTACTCTGCCTACCACACTGGGACTGACCTGGGACAAAGACTCTCCCAGGATTTCTCTTGGATTAGAGCTGACATAATTGAATCAAGGAATTCTCCTGGGATCACAATGCTGGAAAGTGACAGAGTTAATACTTGTGGTTCATATTCTGAGCCTTGTGGAGCAAAATTAAAGCCTCTATCGGCTCTCTCAGACTACCAAGGATATGTCACTGGATTTCCTCATCTATATAATCGCTATAAGCCTCCTCTTCCCAAATCTGGTGGTGATAGTACTAGTTAGTAGTTAGTGGTAGTAGATCTTCCCTTCTAATACCTTAGGGAGTTCAGATGAAATTGTCTGCCAATCTTTGGCAGGATCCAGGATTAATACTTTCCATTTCCTGTTCTGACAGCATGTGGTGAGAGACCCAGTTTTGAGGCAGGTGCTCAGTACTCCAGGATCATAAATGGGGTAGAGGCTGGGTTTGGTGAGTTTCCATGGCTGGTGAGTATTCAGGCAGAACATGAACATTTCTGTGGTGGTACAATCCTGAACAAGTGGTGGATTCTAACTGCTGCTCATTGCTTGCAATTTGACCAACTATCGTAAGTACCCATGAGCACACCCTTATTTAAGTCTTCCCTTGTCCATCCAGATGCTAGCCAAACTAACCAGACCTACTGGCTGAGGAGAATCTAGGGTTGCCCAGTCCTGAGTCCAAGATGAAATTCTGGTGACTCCCACCCATCCAGTCATGCCCTGAAGATGGGGCAGCCAGTAAATTTGGGGTTGGCATATTCTGCTGTGCCATTCTCCATGGTGCTTGGAGCCAGTAGCTATAGATTTCCTGAGGTTACACACTGTCCTCACCAGTAATAACTGTTGCTTGGTAAAGACAAAAGCCTTGGTCAGTCAGACTCTCGTAGGTCATACACATTCTTCTGGTAGAGAATTATCCTACTTCTGGAAGCCTGATTTCCTGGGCCATCTCAGGAAACTAACTAGACTCCGTCCTTGCTTCTTGTGGCATATTCTCTATACTCTAGAAGATTATTGGACAATTTAGTATGTACTGATTACTAACCATGTGCCAGGGACTCTGCTAAGAATACTTGCCTACATTCATTCCTGTAATAATCTTACAATGACCCTCTCAGGTTGGTAGAATGTAGATAAACCCGAGATCCAAAAAGGTTGAGTCCCTCACCTCTAACCAATGAGTAGTAGGAATAGACAGGATTTAAATTATGGATCCAGAGATCCTGCTTTCCACTGCACCACCTTAAGAAACACTGAAAAGAATTTGAAGAGTTCATTTGGAAAATCTTGGGATAGCATTTCATCATCATCTAACCAAGAAGCCCTGTATGATCTCCTGTTGAGTATTTAAGAATTGGCTGTGGGACAGTCCCTGGACATTTTGTCTGGAGGTGTGGCTTGCATTTGGCCTCATTACTGAAGACCCTTTCTGCTGGATCAATGACAGGTCTAGGTTAGATGGTGTGCCGGTCACTAACTTGTTGATAAACCAATTGAATAAAGTAGGTGTACCAATATGTATTTGAAAGCTAATTTGGTCTGCACCAAGAGGTCTTTTGTGAACCCTTCAAATTGCCCCCAAGTAAAGGAACCCTTACTTCATATCTCTGGGATCCAAGATGGAACAGAAGAATAACTGTCATTTGCTGCATTTCTTTGCCCTCCTCGAACTCTTTCAGATTCTCACATCTTCTGAGTGACAGCTACAATAGATCTGTCCCACAGGCCCTTAGAACTTTATGGGATTTAGATTCTTCTGGAAGTGCAATGGTCCCCACTTTGTGACATTCCTTTTCCTCCCACTTCCTCTCTTTGCTTCTATGGCACCAGACTAGAAGAACTGAGTATTGTGGCGGGGACCAACGACTTAATCAGTTCCTATAAAGACATCAAGAAGGTCACCAAAATAATTCTTCACAAAGATTTTCAAAAGGACAAGATGGACAATGATATCGCATTGCTGATGGTGAACTCACCCATCAGCTTCGATGCCCAGGAGACGCCCATTTGCTTACCCAAGCACCCCATCCCCTCCACCTGGCATGAATGCTGGGTGGCGGGATGGGGACAGACTGTTGCTGGTATGTGACCTCTCAGTATGTCCTGAGAGGTAAAAAAGATGGGAGTATTGGTGGCTGAGGACGGGCCATTAGATCCAAAGGGGGAGTGGGGACGGGGTCAGTGATTCAGGGAGGAGAAAGGGGCTTTGCATTGGCTCAAAAACCCCGCACCGTACAAGTTCACAAAGGCCCCAATCTCATCCTCTTCCAAGCTCCAAAGAAACACCTTTCAAAGGCTCCACCCTGAGATACCAGGTCAGATCCAGTTCCCAGATGTGGTTTTATTCCGTCAGTACCGATTACATACTTGAAATGGACTATCTGTCAGCAGTACACACTCCAGTTTGCCAGCGGCCCCTTCTAATCTTCCTTCTCTACCATCTCCCTTGATTCACACGCTGATGTTTCAGACCTGACTCTGATGGGTCTAGCCTGGTAGAGGGTACCCTCCATAGTTCTTAGAAATGGATCTGTTGCTGCTTGTGAACTGGCTAAACTAGAAAGCATTTTAGAACTGAAAGGCGTGACAAAGGCCCAGCTTAACTGTCCAGTTGGCTAACTGGACAATGTCGCAAGCCTGAAGCAGACTCTGGACCAATAGCGATGTGTGGTCACGAGCTGCAGCCTCCGAGGTGGGAGGAGGTCAAGGGTTTAGCAGTCGAGGGAAATGGGTGGGATACTGGCTCTGGAGTGTTGGCACTACTTGAAAGTTGGAAGTGGAGGAGTGGACAGGGAAGATATCTGAGAGAGGAAAAAGAAGAAGTGTGAGGTCTTCGTAGTCAGAGTAAATGAGATGGAGCGAAGCCCAGAAAAGACAAGACAAAATCCCTTCCAAGACTTCTAACCAACTCACTTTTTCTAGTGGTCCTGATTTTTTTCCACTTTTTTACCCTTCTGCTGTTAAAAACCCAACTTTCAGAGGCTTTGTGTGAGGGCAGTGCCATCTACATATGAGGGGGTACCCTCCCCAAAATGAATTTTTTTTCAAAGTTATGTATTTTTTTTTTTTTACAAAACAACCTGGTCACCTACAAAGTACACTCCATTACACTTAATACATTGGTCAAATCTGCGATTCCATTCTTGGAAACGGTTTTCAAACTCATCTGCTTGGATGGCTGACAGCACCTCCCTCATGATTTTCTTTACCTCTTCCACATCGTCAAAGCGCTGTCCTTTCCTGCCCCTCTTCATTCGCAGAAACAAAAAGAAGTGGCATGGAGCGAGGTCAGGTGAGTCAGGTGCAGGGGGCATAGAGGAATGCTCTTTGTTGCCATAAACAGGCACACTGAGATGGCTGCGTGACAGCTGTATTGTCATGGTGGCAAAACCAAGTCACCCATCTGCCACAAATCGGGCCTTTTTTTTGTTGCACACTGTTCACAATCTTCTCAGAACCTCTAAATAGAGAACTTAATTGACAGTCTGACCGGGTGGAATGAACTCCAAACACACTATCCCTTTGACATCAAAATACCCCAAAAAAAACCCAAATGAGCATTGATTTGGGGGGCTACCTCCTTTTATAGTAGCAGGTGGTAATAGGCAAATATACTTGAAAAGGCCAGGTTGTTCTTAGAAATGGTCAATTGGCAGTTCTGGGGAGAAGTGAAGTCGTTAGAGCTGGTTAAAGCCCATCAGAAAGTTGTCTTGGAAGTAGGACTAAGCTTTTGAGAAGGATAATGTAGGCAAGGGACATTGTCGGGGTGGCGGGGCCTGGGAGGGGTGGCCTGTGCATAGAAGTAAGGGACCCTGGAGGAGAAGGAACTGCTGGAAGGTCGGCAGGGTAGCAAGTAGAGGTGTGGAGAGGCATATAGGTAGGGTCAGAGGAGAATCGGTTGTATTAACTGTGGGACCTGCTGAGTCAGAATGGACGCCACTAGATGGCAGTGGGTATTTATTTTTCGTTGTTGTTTCCATGGGGGTACCTGCTAAATGATGGCTTTTCGAATGTACTTTCTCCGCTGGCCAGATAACAAGAACTCTTTGACAACGGACATGATGAAAGCCCCAATGACCATCATTGATTGGGAAAGATGTTCACAGATATTTCCAAAGCTTACCAAAAACATGCTGTGTGCTGGATACAAGAATGAAAGCTATGATGCCTGCCAGGTAAGTACAAGGTACCCCTCCCTCACCTACAAGGCCTCCTCTCCACTGGGCCTATCAGTGCACGGGGTGCTATTTCTGCTAGGATTCATTAAGGGTTTGGGACAAGAACTGGAGCCTTGGGCCAGGGTGGTGGGATTCAGATTACAGAGCCCTTGGATATCCGCCACGTGAAGAGCATCCTTGGAGCACAGCAGCCCTGAGCAAACATTTCTGGTCTTCTCCAGGCAGGCTAGATAAATAGGGACCCTAGGCTTATAGTCACTCCTTGGAATTCTAAAACCACCAAGAGTTGAGGACAATTAGAGGGCCCTGCAATGGGCCATTTTAACTCATTAATTTAGAAATCTTTGTGGTGCTAGGCTTCGGGAGCACGTCCATGAATGAAATAAGGCTTTTCCTTTAGAGGAGGCTGCAGTGCTCTGAGCAGACAGTAAAAAAATGGGTAGCCTTCGTATATTACAGTGACCTTGTAGGATAGAGCAGAACTGCCCTACAGGCTTCCAAGGCTACACTCTTTATGGAAGTAGATGGCTACATCTTTCTCCCAAGTAGTAGCTGGTGGATTTGAACTACTGACCTTTCAGTTAGAGCCAAGTGTTTAATCACTGCAGCACCATGGCTCTTTTAATATCTTGACAATGCAAGTGGGTCTTCTTGAACTAAACAGTATTGGGTTTTACCTTCTATCTAATCAAATAAACTTTAAGAAGAGAAATATTTTTTCCTTAATGACTAGGAGAATAATAATTTTAAAAAACACCTTTGAAGTTATCTTCCTCTGATTCCAAAGATAAACTGTAGGGTTGGCCTTTAAAACTCAAAGCTGCTCTGTGTCTTACAGGGGCCACCATGGTGAGTCCACTTTGTACCAGCTGGAAGTTAGGTCCCTCCCCCTGGTGTGGGAAGTGAGTCTGTCTCATCATGGGTGGAAAAGCTACAAGTGCAAACGCATCATCGTTCACTAGGTTTTCATCCATTCTGTAAAGTGATGTAAAGCCCCGTTCCGTGGGCAAAGAAAGTCTTCAGCTACAGTAGTCGCCATAATTGTTTAATATGATGATATCAGTAATTTTCCCTGGTAAACTATCAGATAGGAGTGCCTCCAGACTGGGACTCTGGGACTATGTGAGTAGTGTGGTGCAAGAGAGCAGAGAAGCAGCTCTGAAATAAGCAGGTGGGCATAGCCACCTGGTGCCAGTCAAGCCATGTTTCTGAAGAACAATATGAAGATCAAAAGAAGAGAGCAAATCAATGTTATATAAACCTTATTTTTTTTTTTTTTGCTTCGGAGAGATTTATTCCTGATTCCTGCCATTTTGCTATGGTTATTTCTTCTTCTCTTCCTCTTCCTCCTCCTTACTTTTTTTTTCCTCCTCCTTTTTTATATCATTTTATTGGGGGTTCATACAACTCTTATCACAATACATACATACATCAATTGTATAAAGCACATTTGTACATTTGTTACCCTCATCATTCGCAAACCTTTTGTTCTCCACGTAAGCCCCTGGTATCAGCTCCTCATTTCCCCCCTCCCTCCTTACTCCCCTCTCCCTCATGAACCCTTGATAATTTATAAATTATTATTTTGCCCTATCTTACAGTGTCCGACATATCCTTCACCCACTTTTCTGTCGTCCGTCCCCCAGGGAGGAGGCGATATGTAGATCCTTGTCATTAGGTCCCCCTTTTCGCCCCCAAACCTTGTCTTGTCTTCGCATTCTGAATAATCTAAAATATTTAAAAACAGAAAGTTGGGCCTTCTAGTACCAGACAAGATGCAATAGGACCCTCTCCCATTACCCCTTCCTTTCAATGTGGCTGAATAACCTTGGACATTATAAAACAAAGAGAGACTTTGGAAAGAGAAGAGAAAGAGGTGGACAGACCAAAGATCTTGCAACACGAGGAACGACAGAGTGGCGAGTCCCTTGGAGCTCCTTTTGTGTGTCCTGGATGCGCCAGACTGAAGGCTGGGGCCCCCCCACCCAGAAAGCAGGCGGGGCACAGACAAAACGGACAACGAAAGCCACTGCGCTTCCTTTTTCCAGAAACTAGGGGGAAATAGTCTAGCCAGACAGGGGAGCCAGACTTTTTATCACCACTGGGAAGCTGACCTACCTTCCTTCCTGCCTTCCTGCCTTCCTTCCTTTCTACCACTACCTGTCGTAATGAACACCTCTTCCAACCTCAGTGTCAGTGAGGGATCTGAATTTCTATCCTCATCCAGCAGTCAAGAATAGGTACTTCTTTCCCCACTGCCCTAGTTTCAGATATTGCCATTTAAAATAGAAAATTCAGATGCTATCCAGAGTCTGATAATTCTCCAAATGCCTAACGATATCTAAAGAATTGCACTAGATTCAATTTAGTGACAACATAGAATAAGACAACTAAAATATGAGTTAAGCATCAATTTTTAATTGAGAACATAAGGTGACGATTTCAGTTAAATTTAATTCAGAATGGTCATGTACTCCCACGTAAATGTACGATGTCAACTTCTAGGGGAAACCCAGCATAGGGACCTGGAACTAGGTGACGAGCTCTAAGACTTGACACCAAAATCATATCCCACCACAGGACACATAGCTGGGCTGCAGCCCATTACCAATGTCAGACTTTAACCCAGGAAGCATCTTGTTAAGATGATGAAGGGAGAAACACTAGAGTGAGAGAAAATATCTAACAAAGGAATCTAGACTATAGAAAGAACCCCCAAATCTTAACAATAAAAAACTACAAAAAGCTATCCAGTTAGAAAACGGGAAGAGAAATTTCAGTAAAGCATATAGATATGTCGTTGGCAACCAAGCACGTGGAATATGTGCAATATCCTTAGCCATTAGGGAAATGCAAAAAACTCACAATGAGCTATAACTACAAATCTATTGGGCAGGCTAACATGAAAAATAACATCAAATGTTAACAAGAAAGCCACCTGGAGCTTGCTGACTGAGAGAGAAAGCCTCCCCTGTAGCTTGTGGCCTGAGTTCAAATTTGTACACTTCCATCAGAATACAAAATTCATTTGCTAAAGCCAAAAAACAAATGCTGGTTAGAGTGTGCAGGACCCGGATCATGCACACCTGACTGGAGGGAATTTGAGGTGGTACGGACACCCTGGAGAACAGGTCAGTAGTGACATGGTAAACTAAACATACCCAGAAATTGTACCCTTGGGCATTCATTCCATAAAAAGAAATGTTGATGTCACACAAAAATCTACATGCAGATGTCATCGCACTTTTATTCATAATAGCCAAAATACAACACAGCTGTACCATGGAATACTGTTGTTTCCTCTTAGTCAACTCGCACAGACTAACACATTGCCTGGTTGTGCGTCATCCTGTGGTTGTTAGATATTGTCAAATTAGTTCCAATTCATGGCAACCCTATTACAACACAACAAAATATCGCTCAGCCCTGTGCCATCCTCACAAGTATGAGCAATCAAGAAGGAACAAAATATTTATATATTCAATGCCTAGGATGAATATGCATAGTCTTCTGCTGAGGGAGGCAAACCAATCTGAGAAGTTTACATATGATTCCATTTACATACTATTTTCCAAATGACTAAGAGAAATGGAGAACAATGGAATTTGTTACACTCCCAGTAAAGAAAACTTTGGGTTGGTTGCTACAGATAAAGGAGGGGTTTTGAGGTGGGAGGGCCGTGCATGTGGCGATAAAGGGGCAGCATGAGAGGACCTTGTGGTAACTGAAAAACCCATGGAGCCCCGTTCTATGCTAAAGTACATAGAATCACCGCGAGTCAGAATTGACCCTAGAGCAACTGGTCCTTTGAATATCCTGAGCACATCACCCATAACAGCTTGAGAGAAATCTGATTTCACTCCACAGCATCCTAGACCAGAAGACTTTTAGAACTGTAAGAGGATGTATAAAGATATAAAATTGAAAGCTTGTTTTATAGATGGGAAAACAAGCTCCAATAATTGACAGTTATTTGAATCCATCATTCACTTTGATAGCTGAGTGGATCAGAAACATTATAATAATTTTTATAGCTTGTTCATGCATATAAAATAAGTTCATCCGCTCTACTACTCTGTAAACTGGGCTGTGGAGGTTTAACTCTCCCATGTAACAAATGAAGATGCAGGAATGTAGAATTTAAGTGATTTGTCCAAAGTAAATACCAGGCAGTGATAGAATCAGACCTAGAAGTCAGGTCCTATTTCTTTACCCACAAATTGAATAGGAGTGATCAACTAGTACCCTTATCTCATAGGGGGAGACCTTGAGAGTCTCTTAGGGATAGTATATTTCTCACATGATAGATCTTTGACCCCTGATATTAGCTCTTGGGAGAAAGTCACTCGCGGACCACTAGTGTCAAGTTCCTTGTTGACTATCATCAGACCCTTCTTAAGAGCCAAGTCTTGCTTTCTCTCCAAGAAGAAAAGAAGGGAAAACATACACAAAAGCATAGGAAGACCCGTATTTTCAGGCGCCCCGTCATCCATAGAGGGGATCTCTGTTGTTCCATTCTATCCTACAGGGTCACTATGACCCAGAATCCACCTGATGGCCGTCAGCTTGGGTGTTTGGTTTGATTCCCTAAATGTATGAGGCTACATGAAAAAGGTGTGCTACTAGGGCATGAATATTTTCTTCATTTATTTTAGCTTGAGAAATGCTGAATATATTCTTCCCTTTGGTTTTCTAAATCCAGATCTCAGCATATTTCATTATTATTTGTCTTCTCCCTCCACCCTTTGAAATCTCTTCAACTCTTCTACTTTATCATTTCTTCCTATCACATTAGCTTCTCTATGTCCTAAAGCATGTTAAGAGTCTCTTCTGACATCAATTTTAGTTTCTTTTGTTTTGAATGATCTTTTGCTTTCTTTGTGTCCTCCCACAACTTGCCTGATCTTTGGTCATTTGTGTTCAATGCATCAAATCCTTCAACATCATATTTTGGTCCTCGTGGACTTGCTTTAATGTTCTTCTGCTCCAGTGGGAAGCTGCATATGAGCAATTGATGGTCTGTCCCACAGTCAGCCACAACCTGGTTTTCAGTGGTAATATTGAGCTTCTCCCTGGTACATTTCACAAACATAGTCACTTTGATTCCTGTGGGTTCCATCTGACTACATCCACATGTACGATCACTGTTTAGGTTGTTGAGAATATTTGCATTGAATAAGTCATTGGTCTTGAAAAATTCTACCTTTCAATCTCGAGTCTTTTCTATCACCAAGGCCATATTTTCCAACTACCAAATCATCTTTTTTGTTTGTTTGTTTCCAACATTTACCTTCAAATCACTAGCCATTATTGATGCATTTTTATTTTTGTCTGATCAATTGCAGACTGCAAAAGTTGGTAGAAATCTTCCATTTTTTTCACCTGTAGCTTTAGTGGTTGATGTATAATTTTGAATAGTATGGATATTATCCTATCACTGACAACACTATAAGTCAAGATGGATGTTGAAATGTTAGTAAGGCATGAGGGTAAATGATAATGTCATTTGGTAATACCTCCAAACAAATATTTGCATATCACAGGTTGTTAGTCGAAGCATTTGCTGATGAAGATCAAGGATTTCAGCCTTCAGTGTGGATTACAACTCAATATAAAGACAAAAACTTCCCAACTGAACCAATAGGATAATATCACAATACATGGAGGGAAGGTTGAAGTTCAAGAATTTTATCTGGCTTGGATGCACAATCGATGCTCCTGGAAGCCAAATACAAGAGATCAAATGATACCTTTCATTAGGTAAATCTGCTGAACAAGACCTCTTTAAAGTGTTGAAAAGCAGCATTGTTACTTTGGGAACTAAGGTATGCCTGACTCAAGCCTTGGTATTTTCGATAGCTTCTTGTGTAGGTGAAAGTTGCACAGTGAATAAGGAAGACAGAAGAAGCATCAGTGCATTTGAGTTAAGGTGCTGACAGAGTCCTAAAAGTACCATAGACTGTCAAAGGAACAAACAACTCTGTCTTGGAGGAAATATGGCCAGAGTGCTCCTTAGAGTCAAGGATGGCAAGTCTTCATTTTACCTACTTTGGCCGTGCTGTGGTTGTCAGAAGAGACCAGTCCCTGGAGAAGGACACCCTGCTTGGTGAAGAAGAGGGGTAGAGAAACAGGAAAACCCTGGACGAGATGGGTTGACACAGTGGCAGCAACAATGGGCCCAAGCTTAACAACATTGTGAGGATGGTGCAGGAGCAGCCAGTGTTTCTTTCTGTTGGGCATAAGGTCGCTGTAGGTAAGCACTAACTCTATGGCATCTAACAGCAAAGATAAACTACTCTCCAGTCTTCCTTCCACCTGAGCACTGCCTATGTCATCTTTCTGCTTCCTCCTCCTGCTCTGTGGGTAGATTTAAATTTTTGTGGCCAAGTCCTTCCCTCTTTTCCCTTTATCTCGGATCCTGTTCTATCCACTGTCTATACCCTGATTCTATAACCACCCAATTAACCTGACAGAAACAAACTTCTCTCGGAGCCTGCGCACAGGTGGACACGGACCAGACGTAGGGTGAGCATTGAGATGACTAGCACAGGGATGGGGATTGACTGCAATAGGTGTGCACATTGGCTGGGCTAAGAATGGAGTTGGTTGGGATAAGAGTGCAGATTGACTAGGATAGGGATGAGGATTGGGCCACAATTACAAGATTTCCTTAGGCAGCCTGGAAAAGTCAAATTCCATGAATTTTCTTCCATTAGTAGGCAGTTTCTTGTCTCAAATGGTGAGTTTAGAATACGACTACCTATTGACCTCTGTTCTCTGTCCACAGGGTGACAGTGGGGGGCCTCTCGTCTGCACCCCAGGCCCTGGCAAGGAGTGGTACCAGGTAGGCATCATCAGCTGGGGAAGGAGCTGTGGACTGAAGGGCATTCCAGGAATGTACACTTTGTTAGCGAAATACGACCTCTGGATCCAGAATGTGACTGAGCTAGAAGGAAGGCCTTTTAATTCGGAGGAAATGAGAGCCCCCAACAAACAGCAACAAGTTCGCTCCCTGGCTGCAGAGTTTCCAAAGGCAATCAACTCAAGACTCTGGATCCTGCTTTGCCTTTTGCCTTTCATGCTATAGTGGCCCATTTCCAACGGTTAATAAAACAGAAGTGTACTCTGCAGCCAAAGGAGGGTGTGTGAGACTGTGCCACCAGCCGGAGAGACTGGTTGAGACAAAGGCTAAATGCTAGGGTCTCAGGTAGATAACAGAGAGTGGGATGGGACCAGAAAGACAGGTTGGAGTCCTGGTTTGGGAGCTGAGTTTTGGGCCTCTCTATTAGTCTGAGCTCTTTCCATTGCGAGTGACAGTATCCAACTCAAACTGGCCAAATACAGAAAGAAAGGGGGGTGGGGGTTTATAATGGATGTAACAGAGGGGTAAAAGGCTGGTATGATGACCTCAGGTATGGTTGAACCTCTGGGGCTCAGATTATATCAAAAGGGACCATTTCTTGTTTGTGAGCATCACCTTCAAGGAGGATTTCCAGGTGGTGGCCATAATGAGCACTGGTACCTCTAGTTCACATCCTATCACATTAGCAGTCCAGAGGACAAAAGGAGATCTCTGTTCCTGATAACTTTGGCAAATGTCTATTACCTATGTGTGGCAGTTACATTATCTACTATCAACTTAAGGAAGGGGTAGAGTCTAGCCTGTCAATCAGGTCATAGCCAATGAAGCCTCTGTGTGGGCATGGCCTTCTCCCGAGGATTCTGGGAACTCCTGTCTTCCTCCCTGGCAGTAGGACACATACTTTCTGCTGCTTCTTCCTGCTGACAAGACACATGGAGTTATACTGATGGAACCAGAGCCCTGGAGCTGGAGGAGGCACGTGGAGACCCATGCTAGTGCTGAGATGCTTCCACCACCACTGGATCCACAAGACTTTTCACCCCCTGGCCTGTGCTCTTCCTGCATTCAGCATCATTTCATATGTTGCATAAGTCTGAAGAGGAATTTTTTAGACTGGTATCTGACATATGGGCTAATATCAGATTTATGGACTTGATCTGGGCTGGGCTGAGCTGTTTTCTCAATATACACTTGCTCTTTTATATAAAGCTCTCTATTACACATGTATGAGTGTCTCTGGATTTGTTTCTGTAGTCAACCCAGACTAACACACCTTGCCTGCCCTCATGAAGAGATTACTGAAGACGTGGGTGCTATAGCAAAGTCTGGTGAAGAAACCAGACCAGGCCCAGCTATCAAAAAGAACAGTGTCTGAAGTCTTCAGGCAAGCAACCAGCAAAATGAGGCATCAACTAAATCTGCATGGAAGGGGAGCAGCAGCCAAAGGGTTATAAACAATGGAATCCAAATCCAAATAGTGTCAGAGCTTAAATTATGAACATCCAGCTTTCAGGAGGCTGTGCATGGCAGTGGAAGCCAAAAGCTAACTTTGAGAGTCCCCACAGGGATTTATCCTCCAGTGAATCCACTCTGACCCTAGCCAAGGGGTGTGAACAGCCTTGCTATCAGACAGAAAGCACTGCGGAGTCAATTATGGCAGATGTAATTGGGTTAAAATGGAATACCTTTCACTGGATCTCCTTTCTGATCCATTTTAAAGTTGTTTCTATTTTTTAATGTTTTCCACTTTCTTTTTGATTTAGGCTTTCCTGGTTTTGTTTAGTCATTGTTGTTCGTTTGTTTGTTTGTTTTTTGTCTGTTTTCATCCTGCTTGTATTTTGTATGAGTTTCTGTATATGAAATCCAAGATAGGACATGCCGGCTTGGAGTAGGGAATCAGTGGAGAGGTCTAGGGGGCTGGTCCCAGCCCCAAATACTAAGTGGATGCCTGCCCCTCCCCTGAGAAGAATGTATCTCAAACGATGGCACTGAATCTGCAGCTTC